CCCCTGCTCTGGCCTAGAACCTCCCTTGGCCAAGAGTTAGCCCCCTGCTGCCCCAGCCCCTGGGGCCCAAGATGTTTCAGAGCCTCCCTGGAAATGTCTTAGATTCAGGTCCCATCCAAAGCCCACTTTCCCTGAAGCAGGTCTGGGAGGGAGCAACCTATGAGGCATGCTACTCTGTCACCCTGCCCAGTCTGCGACATGCTCCCGACTCCAAGGCGGTCTGTGGGGTCTGGGAGGAAAGCTGAGCATGGAGCCTGAGGAGGGGTGGTGCCTCACCTTCACGGAGCCCTGAGATTGCACACAGCATTCCTCCAGCCCCCAGAACGGCCCGGGCAGGAAACAAGGTCTCCATTTAATCAGAAAGGAGCAGGGGCTTGCCCAAGGTCACCCGGCAAGGTGAAGGAGTATCCAGAGCACCTCTGGAGAGGAAGAGCCAACATTTGGAGAAAGGATGGGGAGATCTGAGGGTGTGCCCCTACTCCCAGGAAAGGGCCAAGTAGGGGTTCGATCAGTCCTTGTGGCCCCTCTCTTCTGTCCCCCATGGTCGGGGGCAGGGAGGGAAGGAGCTCTGGCTGGGGTCAGGGGCCCTGGGTTCCAGACCAGCCCTCCCCCACCACCCAGAAGTCTCCCTGCCTCAGGGTAGCAGGCAAGCCTGCCAGTTTACGTCAGGCCTGGCTGGGCTCCTGAAGAACGGGGGTGTGAGGCTGGATGGATTCCTGAACCTTACTGGTTTAGACGGCCAGCCTGGGTGATGTTTTTGGCTGCTTAGACGAATTTTTGGAAAAATAACAATGTTCAAAGAACCTGAGCATTACAGAGCCAGGAGGGACCCTCAATGTCATCCACACCAGTCCCTTGCCAAGACTTCAGCTCTCATACCACATCTCCAGCCGGCGGGCCTATGCCCTGCTCACACCTCTGCTGACAGCAAACTCACCACCTGTAGAGGACAGCTTTGGCTTTGTAGAGATTATTCCACTGCCAGAGCTGATGTCTTTGTCTCTCCTTTCCTCTCTTCATTCCTTCCTTCCTCCTTCCCTCTCTACACATCTACTGAGTGCCATCTTTGGGTCAGATGAGGATCTAAAGACGAATTTACATGACCCCTGCCATCAAGGAGCTCACGGTCCGGTAGGAGAGCAGATACACTATTATAGTCTCAACACTGATCAGTGGGTGTTGTGATAGATGCTAAAAAAGCAAAAAAGCATCATAGGGGCTTCCTGGAGGAAGTGTTATCTGAGTTAATCCTCAAAAAATGAGGACTTGGGGAAAGAGAAGGGGGTTTCCAGACCCAGGGAGTGGCACATGTGGAACATCCTGTCTATTCTAGAAATGACAAATAGGATTTAGTCTGGCCAGGCACAGAGTAGGAGAGATGGGTGACGTGGCTGGCAAAGTCAGCAGGGCCTGATCATGGAGGGTCTGGTCGGCCAGGCCGAGGACTCCTGCTCTTATCCCACAGTTGCTGGAACACTATCTCGAGGCCCGGTTCACTCTCGCCACACGGGACACCATCAGAGCTGCAGTTCCCAGGTGGAGCCTCTCTTGTCTTTCGTGGTGGTTTTCTTAAATGTGACTTTTGGTGGAGGACCATTCTTTGGGATCCATTGTGACGAGGACACTGGGCTGGAGACTGGGCAGGTGGAACCGGGGTCCCGAGCCCCGAGGCTTGCCCGGGCCTAGCGAGGGTGAGGCAGGAGATGGCAGAGCATCGCGTATGAGAAAAATCAGCTTGCGGTTATTTGGCGCAAAAGCCAATTCACCAGTCAGTGCAAGTTTCCGTGCTTCATCCGCTCCGGGTCTTTGCATCTCAGCTGGAGGGGCCCGTGGTGGCCTTTTGCAGCTCCCTGCAGCCTAACATTTCCACTCGCCCTGCCTTCACCTGGCTGCTGGTGCATCAGAACAGCCTGGAGAAGGACCGGAAGGACGTGGCCATGCTGGCAGCTTCCAGCATGTCCCTGGGCCGTTCGGTCAGTTTTCCTGAGACGGGGACCGAGGGCCACCACTGACATGCTGCCTAACCTTGGGCAGGTCACTTAGCCTGCTGGGTCTCGTCCTCCCATCTTCTCTGCCACTTGAAGGTCAACCATGAAAGCCCTAAGAAATGTACACGGGGCTCTCAGAGCAACAGGGGCTTTTTATGAGGACAGGCACATAGAACATGCTGGAAAAAATGTCAGCAGCGGTGGACAGATCATCCAAAGTGTGTAAGTGGCTGTGGATGGCGTGGTGGTTCCCTGGCTCGGGATGAGAGAATTTAGTGTGCCAGCCATGCAGATTTCCACAGACATGCCTCAGGTCTTCTGGGATGTGAGTTTGTTTCCCACCCCGGCCGGTGGGTGGGCCGCGGGGATCTGTGAGCTCAGGCTGTAGACGTCCGATCGACATTGGCTCTGGCTGTCCTGTGGGCACCGGGCTACCTAATCAGCCGGCCCGCCCCTCTGCCGCCATCCATCTTTCTTTAGACACTTGAGCGCTTGCTGGAGGGAACGTCTGGAATCTCCTAATCTCTCCAGAGGATGGATCTGGGGAAGACTAGGGCTGAATCTGTCTGTGGTCAGGGGCCTGGGTAGGATAACCTCTAAAGTTCCTTCTAGGAACCTACGATTGGGCTGCTTGCTCCGCCTTGATGACGAAGGGTTCCTCTGGGCCAGGAAAGGTGCACAGATGAGGCCTCAACACCTCGCCTGGCACCGCATGCGCATGCTCAACAGTCACACAGCGGGTTGATTTACCTCTCTGGGCTCATGCCCGGCACAGAACTGGGCATGCAGTCAGGTACCTGGACTGTTAGCTCAAATGTTTCATCTTTAATTCACCTCAGGCTTCGGCTGAGTGCATCTCATGCCACACACTGCACTGAACTGAGGGAAATCTGGCTTCTAATTCCTTGACACTTATCTCATCTACAGAGCGCTCCGCACCATCTGTTTGATGTCCAACAGGCCTTCCGAGCCTGCTTTAGAAGTCAGCGAAGCCCCTTCCCACTCAGAAATAGGAAGTCACATTTCTGCCAAAGATAAACGGACTCCAGCCCTGGTTGGGGTCAAGTTCAGTTTACAACGTGATGCCCATGGGGCTGGCTGGACCCTCTGAAGCAGATCTCAGGACTCCTGCCAGGTCTCAAGCTCAAACATGTCCATCCAGGGCCGAGATGAAAAGAAGTTAGCTGCTGGCCAAGATGCTCATGGGACCTCTGGCCATCCAGAGATGTCCAGAATTCTGTCTCAGAAGGGAGACAGCTGCCGGGCTGGGCACAATGGCATTGGGTCTAATCAGCCATTCCCGGGCCTGCCAGGGAAAGCCATGGTGTGGTGACACTGTGGAGCACTGGGCTGGGGGTCAGCAGACCCGGCCAGCTGGGTGCTTCCCCTCTCTGGGCCTCATGATTACTATTACCGTTCTTATCTGTCAAATGAGGGGCCCTTTCTGCTCGTGGGTTCCAAAACTCAGGAACTGACGAGCCACCAGCCCAGTGAGGATTTAGGGCTAGGAGGCAGCCAACCTGGGTCCTGTGCTATCTCAGTTACCACCCTGGAGGCAGAGGAGTGAGGTCAGTTTCCCTAAGTCTCAGTTGCCTGCCTGCCCAGATTCCCCCACCCACCAGCCTCTGATTTGATAGGAAAGCCTCTCACTGGCTCCGAGATAAGACATGTTGGGGCATGGGACACGTGGTCCACACTGTTGCCAGAGCCCTTCGCTCAGAGGGGCCGACATGAGTGACCGTGGCCAATAGGTCTCTTTGGTTGGAGCAAGGAGCTTGTGCTGGCCCATTTGGGTGAGATCTGCCTTCTGCGGAGCTTCCCTGTGCAAAAAGAACATGGCAAAATATGGTCCAGGGGACAAGCATTGCTTCTGAATCATACGGATCTGGGGTCATGTCCCAGCCAGGTGACCTTAGGCAAGTCCATTTATCCTTTTGGGGGGCTCAGTTTCCTCATCTGTGAAATGGGGACAATCACATCGCACAGAACTGGCATGAGGATCAGTGATAAAGTGAGTGTGCAAAATGCCTGCCACGATGCAGGCTTTGGACAAATGGTGGCTTACATTAGGATTGTTATTACCACACGACTCCTAGAGCCTCAGTCCCTAAAATTGCCTTTTTGTGCCCACACCTGTCCTTTGGCCCAGCTCACTCTGTTTGGCCATGACATCAAGAGGCTCTTCTATAAGCCAGGCTTATAGAAGATTAATGAAGCCAGAACAGAGAGGTCCGGATTCACATCCCGGCTCTCCCACTTGCTGCATGACCTTGGGCAACCACCTTCTTCTCTTTGGATCTCAACTTAACCATTTGTCGCAGAGGGCTGGGGGATGACCCCCCTCAGCACCACCATCCCTCCCCCACCCCCGTGCTTTGGTCCAAACACTTACCAAGAGCTCTGGAAGGCCAGTTCACAGACACTCAGGGCTTTCAAAATAGCAGCATTCTTTCCTAAAGTATCTTCCCACCTTAGGATGCATCCAGGGGAGGGAAGGATCGTCAGCGTTCACATCTCTGGCTCCCAGATCCAGCTTCACAAAAGCTAAGCCTGTCTGCCTGCCCCTCTCTCTGAGATCCCCATGGTGGGAGAAGCCAAACCCAGACACTGGAGGCTTCTGCGGGTCTAGGAGCAAGCCAGTTCAAAGCCACGGTCTGCCTGAGGTTTGCAGACATCCTGGCAGCCTGGGTTCACTTCCTGGGTTGGCGTTGGGGCTACTTAAGGGGTTAACATAGGCCACATAAAAATAGTTTTATCGGTAGAATAAATACATTTTTCTTTTTTAATATGGACACATATTTTACAAAAGAGCCCCATAGCACTATGGGAAATTAAGATCCTTCTACAAAAAAGAAGATGTAACTTGGGTACAATAAAGCTCTAGTGTTCTAACGGATCCCGTCTGGACTGCCCGTGAGGTGTCAGGCACCCTGGACGTGGTGGCAGGGGCAGTGGGGTGTAGCCACAGACCCTCCTGTGGTTTCTCTGGCTTCTCTGCACTGGTGGCCAAGGTCAGGAGGGCCCAAGGGCGTGCCGCAGGAGGGGGGCTGCAACGCTGGCCAGGATGGCGGGGAGGAGGCCCAGGGTGGGCTGTGGGCGGCGGGGCGCAGAGCTGCTGGTGGGGCCTGGCTCTTCCCGCTGCTGAAGCCGCTCTGAGGGCTGCAAGGGGGGCCCTGCTGTCCCGGAGCTGTGCGTAGGCTGCAGGGGCGGCGGGGGCGGTGAGGCGGCCGTGCTAGAGGGAGAGAGAAAGCGGGAGAACCGCGGCGTGACCGCTCAGTAGCCTCGTCCTGGGCTGTGGCCTGGGGTTCTAGGCGACTTTAGGGAATCTATTTTCTTATAAATGGAGAAGGAGACGAGGGGCTGCGCAGGGAAAATGAGCGACCCAGAGCCACACAGCCGGCCGGCTGCACTCCCGAGGCTACAGGCTTCAAGTGTGACCACTCGACACAGGTCCCAGGGCAGAAAGGATGAAAGTGACACGGAGGAGCTGGGTCTGGGGTCACGCTGGGGCAGTCAGCCTCCAGGCCTGTGTGCGCAGGCACTCTCCTGCCACTGTGCCCACCCAGCCCGAAACTGACGGGAAGCCAACCACACAGACCACCCTACCATCTCCCGGCCCTCCTGATCACAGCTCCCAGGTCCTGAGGGTCTCTCTGGCCTCAAAACCAACCTTCACAGTGGGTCTCATCACCCCCTTCCCCCAGATGAGAGGGCCGGGGCTCGGGGAGGCTAAATGGCACCGGGTCCCAGGAGAAGCAGGGCCAGCACCCGGGGCAGCCCCGGGGCAGCCGCCCTCTACACAAGTCCAGGGAGGTTGAGGGAAACCTGTGATCCTTCATGAACTCATAAAAAGAGAAGCCAGTTTTGGAGGGAATGGGTGAGATCGTTGGCTCAAGAGAACCTATGAAAGAGAGGGAGCGAAAGAAGGAGGGAGGAAGGGACAGAGAAATAGGGAGATTGAGTGCGGAACGAGCCTGCTGGCTGAGGCCAGAGCCTGGTGCCGTGGGGAAGTGCAGGGGAGGACGGGGGCCAGATGGGGTGCAGGACCAGGTAAGCGGCTCAAGTCCTGGAAGGAGAGAGAGAGAGCACATGGCCAACAAAGAGAGGGCCAGGGACAGAGGAGGAGAGGGGACAAGGACAGACAAAGACACAGGCATATAACCCAGAGAGGCCATACGGGTAGAAGGCTCCAGGATGAAGAAAGAGTTGGAGGCCCAGGGGGCGCTGGGCCCCACCTGCTCTCGTGGAGCCCTGGGTCGGGGAAGCAGGTGGAGATGCAGACAGAGGACCTGACAAGTCCCTTCACAGCAGGGGTACAAGGGTGGGAGGGGAGGCCGGGCAGGGGGCACAAAGAGGGGTCCCTGTCCAGGGCAGGGCCAGGAAGGCCTCCTGGAAGAGGTGACAGAGCAGTCTGCCTGAAGACAGAGTCTACCTTGCACGTGGCTGAGGGTGCCCCCGGTGGCCAGAGAAATACTTACCCCCAGCCTGTGGCAGCTCTGGGCCAGCACCTAGTATATACTTCATGGCAACACTAGGAGGCAGGTCTGACTCTTATCCCCATTTTACTTAGGGAGAAACTGAGGCAGGAAGAGGTTAAGTAACTTGCTCCAGGACTCACACGAAGGCTGGGATCGGAACCAGGCACATAGTAGGTGCTCGCTAGCAGGTGATGCACGGGCTTGCCCTTCCCTGGGTGTCTTCGGTGTGAGCAGCCTCCTCCACGTGGGACGCTGCCCCGTTTTCCAGTGCTTAATGCCCCTCCCCAGGAGGCTGCTCACTCGCTGGGTCCTCAGGGAGTCCCCTGCTCTACCTTGGCCTGCCCTTCCATGGGTTCGGCATAGGGTCCCAACAATTGGCCATAATCACTGTGAGCTCTATGATCATCACCACAAAGATCCAGCCCCACTGCCATCCCGGCCAGACGCCTCTCACACAGCCTGGCTCAGCCTCAGCCTTGGGTGGGTGTACAGGGGAGCCCGGGGTCACCATGTACACCCCTGCCTCCGAGTGGGCTGAGACCTCTAATCTGGGAGTGGGTGTCCGCATGCCCTCAGTCAAGAAAGTCCTCGCTCCTGGCCTGTCCCTCGTTCTCTATCCTGGTCATGCTCCAGCCACGAGAACCTGCCACCTCCTCACATGAGGTTCTTCTCAGCCTGGCATCTACAGTTGCCGTGTACTGTGTTCCTCTGTCTTTAGAAACTCCTAGAGGGGCTATCAGGAGAGGAGGGAGCAACAGCATGTCATGCACCATGGACAGAGGGAAGGTGCTCCTAGGTAGAGAGTGTGCCTGTGGAACAGAAGAGGGGTAGACCAGGAGGCTTTGCCCCCGACGACACACAGTATCTGGCAGATGATGCCCCAGCCTGTAGTGGCCAGCTGAGCACTGAGACCCCTCAGGCAGTCGGGGGCCGGCCGACCTCACCTTTCCTGCCTCCGCCAGTACGTGTCACCCTGTCCAGTCACACTGACTCCTGCTGCCATTTCCCACCCATGTCTGAAGGCCTGGCTCAATATCCCCTCTCTTGGAGGCCTCTCTGGTGGGTTCTCCTTCCCCTTAAGGCCTCCAGGGAGAGTTAAGGTTCCCAAGGAACCTTGTGTGTGTCTCATTGATGCTGCCGGGTCCTACACAGGTACCTATTTCGGCAGAGGAGGCCTGAACGGGCTCCTGCGTGGGAAGTGCTTTGAGCAGCGCCCCGCGCACTGGAAGCACGACACGGCTTTGTGTTTAGCATCGTCGTTAGAATGTTTGTGTGTGTAGCTCTCCCGCTAACAGCGTCCTCCATTTGTGAAGCGTTTCCTAGGAGCCCGTAGAGACTGCGATGCTGTACACGTGTCACCTCATTGTCCCCATTTCCAGGATGAAGGGACAGCCTGCAGGGGATCGGGATACAGAGGCACACCCATCAGAGGGCACAGGGGTCAGCGTGGCGCTTCCTGCTGAGACCCGGAGAAGCTGTGTGTGGAGGCTCGCCGGGGTGGGAGGTGAGGCCCATGTGGCCTCGGCCCCGGGAGGGTCAAGCCTGTGCCCAAGCCACTGCCTGAGCCCTTTCTCTCCCTTTCTCTTCTAATGAAGAGAAACTCCACAGGCTACACAAAGTGTCCACGACGGTCCCTTCCTAGTGCCTGCCCTGTCCTTTCAGCCTGAGCAGCCAGGAGGCTAGGAGGCCCAGCCTCAAGAGAGGAGGCTCTGTGCCACTTGGGGTGCCCAGAGAGGGGCCCAGACTGGCTGCAGCCAGCCCTGCCATCAGAGGGAAGATCAAGCAGGAGTTATGAAAATTATGTCTCGCTGAGGAAGGCGCCCAAAAGCATTTGCTCTCACACTTTGAAAACCAAAGATGCACATTCCCCCTTGGAGCCCGAGCAGGGGTTTTATTGCTTGGAAAGAGTCCCAGGGAAATGGGGTGGGGGGCGGAAAGCCCCTCCAGATGCCCCCGCCTCCCCGGCCCACTCTGCTCACAAAGCTCAGTCCCCAGGCCCAGATCCCCCTCCCCCACGCCCCCAGGCCCATACAGGGGGAAACTGTCTCATGGCAAAATGGCCTCGAAGCCAAACCAAACACACTGAGTGTTCCCAGGCTCTGCAGACGGCTGGCACCAAGGGGCCGAGTCTGCTCTGAGCCGACAGGGCCCCTCGCATGGGGAAGGGCCCCACTGCTTGGGTGAAAGGCTGAAGCCCTGTTCTAGAATGCCTTATGTCCCTGTTTGCCGTGTGACTTGGGGCAAGTCCTGCCCTCTAGGCCTCAGTTTCCCTACCTGTACAATGAAGGAGCAGGAACAGACCCATGCATTTTAAAAGGTTTTCTAGCAGCAGAAGCCAGGAGGGAGATCTTAGGCAGAAGCTGAAGGTGTAAAGCACAGAGAAGGAGGGTTGCCGCTTGAGACAGTGTCAGCTGTCTGCCCACTGAGGCCTCCGCTCTGGGCACCCCACGTGGCACAGAGCCTCCTCTCTTGAGGCCGGGCCTCGGAAGGTGGTGGCCTTCTTCCCAATGCAAAGGGCTGCTGGCTGTGCTCTGGGCGACCTCCTCCAAGGCTTCCGGGGAGACAGAGTGGAGATGGGGCTTGGGCGCGCAGGGCCCCGCTGCCAGGCGGTCCTACTGCCTGGGGGTGCAGCTCTTGATGTGGCCCGGCTGGAGGAGACTCCGCTGCCAGTCTGGTCTGGCCTCAGCCTCTCAGAGCCAAGCGGGCTTTGCCCACAGCCCGATGTCCCGATGTCAAAGGCCCATGCCCACCTCCAGGCCTTTGGCCTCACGGACTTCTCTGCTGGCAATGCCCTCATCTTCCCCACGGCCCCGGCTGACCGATTCCTTCGCAGGCACAGGAACACTGACCGGGGCTCCAGGGCTCCTTCGGTGACACCGTGTTGGGAAGCTGTCCCTGCCTGGCCGTGGCCTGAGACTTTCCCTGCTCTCGTCCCCACCAGTGTGTGGCCAGTGTGCTCCTGTTAAGCAGGGGGGAGTGGGCGGCACCCACCCAGTGGCTCACTGAAGGCTTGAGGCCTAAGAGGCGCTAGGGACCCACGAGCAGCTCCTGCTGGGGTCGGGGAGAGTGGCATCTGAGGCCAGCCCAAGAGTCCCACCAGCGGCGGTCTGGTGCCAGCTTACCACTTTATAAGCATCCCTTTGTTTCCTCTCTATCCGCAAAGCAAGCACAGGGCAGAGCTGGGCGCTGAAGCCCATTCTGCCTGCATTTGTCTGTGCTTTTATTCATGGAGTGATCCAGTTTCCCCTTTCTCATGGGGTGTCTTCTACCTCTAATCCCATGGCATTCTGGCCTCATACAGAGACGCTGACCACGCTGGACCCTCTGAGGAGAAGGTCAGGCTTTACTGAGAGAAACTGGCGCTGGGGAGCTTGGGGCAGGACGGGTGGGCCAGCCAGAGGTGTGCAGAGCCCTCCCAGGGGCCGAGGGGTTAGAACACTGTGTCTTTTCCCCTTCGAGGGGGCCCTGGCCACCTGCTCAAACCCCAGGGAAATCTAGGCCCAGAAGGACAATGACACGCTGTGCGTGTGTGAGTGTGTGGGTCCCGCATGGTGCACCCACAAGGCCCTGGGTCCGTCCACACTGATGCGCACCTGTGCCTTACTTCCAGCCACGCCCAGCCCTTGGAAGGAGCTCCCTTCCCTGCCCCTGCCCTTCTGTCCTGACGGCCCAGCACTCTGCTCCCTTGTTTATGCACCCCTCCACCCCCATCGTGCGCACACGTACCCCAGCCGTGGACAGGGAGAGCAGCAGAGCTAGCATGACCTTCGGAGACCAACCAAGGCCCTAACTGCCCAAAAAGAGAGACTGCGGATTGTCACAGGTCCCATACGGCACATAGCCAGTGGGAGCGAGCCCTGCCCTGCTGCCCGCCTCCTGGCCCTCCAACGTGGGGATTCCCTGGGGGTTCCCTCGGAGTTCCGTGCTTGCAGCACAGCCATCTGCAGACACACGCTTGGCCCTTTCCGGGGGTCCTCGTAAATCACCCTGCCAAGGGCTGCGGCTTCCCTAAACTTCCTCTGGGGTGTTTGTCTCAGGGATTGAGGGGCAAGGGGAGGGTCAGCAAACCCCCAGCGAGGCCCCTGGTGGCCACAGAAGTCCAACCCAGATCTGGTGCCCAGGGCCCCCAGGCCTTGAAACACAAGTGAGGAATCGCAGGCCGTGTGAGTGAGGGGGCTCCTGCGGGGGCTGTGGGGTGTGGGGGAGGAGAGAAGGGACACAGCCAGTGAGGAGAGAGGAGACGCTTGGAGGTGACGGCAGGAGGGGCATTTGCGTGGCCACGGGCGAATGTGAGCCTCAGCGTTAGACAGACCTGGGTGTGTGCTCTGACTCTGCAGCTCACTTGCTGTGTGGTCTTGCACGAGTTACCTGACCTCGCTGGGCCTCAGTTTCCTTGTTTGTCAAACAAAGCTTACTTCCCAGACTCCTGACAGGACCTGAGGCATGAGGACATAGGAGCCTGCTGCGGTGCCGGGCACAGAGCGGGAGCTCGGCCAATGTCCCCTCGCGCCCACCGCCGGCAGAGAGAAAAGCAAGAACAAAGGTGGGAGGTGAGCCAGGCATGGCCCGCTGAGGGTGGCATACAGCCCGACCAGGACAGGGCCCGCGGGAAGGGCAGCCTCGGGCCGGAGGGGAGACCACAGATCTGCGTCCCTAGCGGTGGCAGGGAGCACCGAAGAATCTCAAGCTGCTGGGGGCAGTGTGCTCGGGCAAGGGGTGGTCACAGGTGGAGCAGGAGCTGGGAGAGGTGACGGATGGCTCTGGCAGGATTTGGGAGGAAGAAAACGAGAAAACTTGGAATGGAATCACAGCTCCAAGGAAAATGGTTTTGTTGGAGTGGCTACAAATGGGCCTTAGGTTCCCCCTTGGAGAGCTCTCCTCTGCTCCCCCGCAGAGGACCGGAAACTTGGAAACCCCAGGTGGGTGGGGTGAGTCCCCTGGGAGTGACAGAAGCTGCACCCTCACCTAGGCCTCTCAAGGAGCTCAGGGCCTGCTTCCCTGAGAAGCATCGAGAACTCAAACGGGGTGCCCATTCGTGGAAACTTCCTTCTCCAACCCCACCAGACGGAAGAAAGCTAGCCAACCACAATTTACCTGTTAGGTTGGAGAAAGGGCTCCCGCTTGCCAAAGAAAAGCTATTTTCTTCTCCTGAAACCAGGCTCTGTGTTTCAGAGTTACGTGTTGTGAAAAGGAAACTGTTTGGAGTCGTTTGCCGAAATTTACCTTTCAGAAGCAGTTAGGGTCGGGGGTCTGTTGCTGGAGCTGACAGCCAGCTCCCTGGCCCCTCATGGGCTGGGCCCACCCCTGGCTGGGTCTCCTGGTTGCCCCAGCAGGTTGACAAGGGCCCTGAGTCACCCTCCCAACTGGAGCTTTCTATGGGCCCCCAGCGCCTCTGTTGGCCCCGCTGCTCCCTGGGAGGCTGCAGGCCGTCCCCAGTGCTGAAGAAGTGGCTCTCTGATGCAACTCCCTGCCCGCGCTCCCGGGCTGGAGGGAGCGGCCCATGCCGGGCATGTGAGCCAAACATGTCCCCGCTAATACAGCTCCAGCGGTGCCTCTGCCTTTGGGGGGCCAGGCTGGCCAGGGCTCCGAACAAGTGCATTTCCCACTAACCCAAGTCAGATGCTTTGAAACCAAAGCCCAAAGGAGCAATGGGCTCCACTCCTATTTGCTGGAAGTCTTTGTAGAATAGTGCACCTCCCAGACTTTAAGAGAGTGGACTGGACTGTGTCAACGTTTTGTCATTGACTCAGAGACCTTGCTGCAGGAGGACCATGAAGTCGACAGGGCAGGAGGCAGCCCCTGATGGCTTGTGTGACCCTGGACAGACCCCCTGCCCCGCAGCCTGTAAATGCAGAACTGGGTCCATGTTCCCCAAAGCTGCTGAGAAGACTCTCGAGTGTACATTCAACCCAAGGGCAGACTCAAACACACAACTCCCCAGGCCCATGCGGTGCAGGGTCAGATTTATGAGGTCTGCAGTGGGGCCTGGACATTTGTTTGTTTACAGGTACCCCAGATGATTCTTTCTGGGAATGTGGAGGAAATCCCAGATGATGGTCTTTAGGGCTCAGGGGAGACTCCAAGTCTCCAAAGGCCCACTTCTGGGGCACGAGGTCCAGGGCTGGGCTACCACAGTGGGTAGGACTCTGACCTTCACTGACAGGGTGACACTGTTCACTACACACGGAGATTCCTACCCGCCAACGCGGAAGCTAGGGAGACTGTTCTGTACCGAGCCTGCAGGCAGAAGTTGGGACATGGCATCCTGGTTACAGCAGGAGCTTTGGTGACAGGCTGAGAGGGTGGCACAGGGGTGGCAGGAGCACACAGGCAGGGGACAGACAGGTATTGGCACAGCAGGATGATCTCTGCACCTGCCCATGCTCACCATTGTTCACCACAGATGCCCCCCACCCCCTGCCGAGATGGAGGATTAGCAGTAAGGGCAGTGGTCAGCCCCTGCCATCTCTTCTTGCAGAGTGGGACCCCCTGCACCCTCCCTGCCCGGGTGTCAGCCACTCAGACCTTCCAGGGACAGGGAGCTCACAGCCTTTCCAGGTAGCCAGCCTGCTCTACTCGCTCTTAGTGTCACCGTCTGGCCCGTGGGACAAAAGGAGACTGCTGTGCACCCCAGGTGCATCCAGGGAAGCTAAAGGCAAAGCAGACTTCTGTCCAGTGCACCTTAGGGAAGTTTCTATTCCCTTACCTTTAAAATGGAAAGAAGTGTACTTGCTCTCATTTTGAGAATAAAAATGAAAAAAATCAGATGTGAGCATGCTCTGTAAGCCCTGCTGAATGACCAGGAGGAGCCTTTGTGAAGGCGGGGGGAGGGTCAAGCTATCCCATAAGTTTCTGCTCAAGTACCCACCTGGCCCGCGTCCTCCGAGCAGGGCTCTTGGAGGAGAGAGGCCCCGGCCCCGGGGTGTGTGCGTATGTGTCTGAGGCCGGCTGGGAGAGGTGGCCAGCCCCGGACGGGCCCGCCCCGCTGCCGCTCACCTGTCCTCGAGGCGGACCCACAGGTCATTGAACTGCCGTGGCCGCTGCTGCTTGTTCTGCCTCTTGTGCCACTTTTTCTGCCGCCCAAACTCCTCCAGCTGGCTGAGGCTGTCGGGGAGCAGGAGGTGTGGGGACAGGGCCGGGTCTTCCTCCTCAGGCGGGGCGGTGGGGGCGGCTGAGGGCGCTGCGGGGACAGCGACGGCGGCAGGGGTGGCTGGGTCTGGGCTCGCCGAGGTCCCCTCGGGGGGCGGCGCAGGGCTCCGGGTGGCGGGGCTGGAAAGGGGCAAGAGCACGGGAGGCGCACGTGTGGGAACGTGTCACTCATGTGCAACAGCGAACGCCACCCCGCGGGAAGGCTGTCACCGCCGGAGGAAATGCTGGGTGCCCCTGCCGCCCCGGGCCAGGCTGTGTGCGGTCTAGAGATAGAGGGAGCTCTGACTCCTTTCCCTGAGGGACTCCCTGCGCCGGGCACGCTTCTAGGAGTTGGGCAAAAGCAGTCTAAACTAGGTCCCTGTCCATTCTGAGCTCCCTCTCCGAAGCAGAAGATGGACAGTAAGGATGGCAGACGGTGGGAGCCCTGGAGGAGGCCAGGAGGGCGGGTGGAAGGTGCTAGGCATGCAAGGGGGTCTGGTCACTGCCGGGTGACATCTGAGCCCACACTCGTGGGAGCGGAGGGCGGGAGCCATGGGCAGGTCTCTGGGGGCATATCTGACCTTCGTCAGGGTCTTTCATTCCACAAACTCTGGCTGAGGGACTTGGGGCAAGTGACTAACTGTGCTGTGCCTCATCCCATAGCCCGTGCTTCCGAGGGGCATCATGAGGATTTCATAAGTTAACACAGGCAAAGCCCTTAGAACACTGACTCGCTCATAGTTAGCAGCTGAAATGTTTTAGTAATGAACATTATTCATTAAATATTATTAAGTATTAATGTGGTTACTCGTGTCATTCATCCAACCACCCATCCGTGCATTCAACATCCACCTCCTGAACACCCTTCTGGGGAGGTGGGACAGTGTTCAGCAAGTTAGAGCTCCGGCTAGAGGTAGACAGACGTGGGTTCACACCTGGGCTCTGCAGCTCACAGGCTGTGTGACCAAGGGCAGGTGCCACGGTGGTCTGGAGCTTCAGGGAGCTGTAAGATGGGAGTAGTCATACCACTTACTTCATAAGCTTACCACGAGGTTCAATAAGATGAGGTCTTAACACAGTGCCTGGCACATAACAAGCATTTCTTTAACGTTGGCCTGCCAGCAAAGGGACTTGGCCACAGTAGGCACTAAAGCATTGATTAGGTGTGTGTTCGTGGAATTCACATTCCATACAGTGCTCTATATACAGGTGTCTTGGCCCAGGAACATCCTCTGCTCGTCTCCCTTTTATTCTTTCCTCTCTGGCGCCCGAACGGACTTTCTCTGGAGGACCTCGGTCGGACCCTGGCAGAAGGCTGGATGTGTCATGGGGACCATAAAGGTACGCTGACACCCGAGGCAGCATACAGCCTGTCCTCCACTCCTGCATGCACGATGGGGTGAGGGGCTTCTCCCTCCTTGAAGGAGAGAAGGCCATCAGCTCAGCTTGTCCATCCCCAGCCCCCACAGCAACCCCAGATTCCCAGGGACCAGGAGATGTTGCAGCTGCTAGGGAGATAATTCAAAACAGGCGGACAAAAAGATGGATCCAGGAAACACCTGTGGCCGAGGATGGCTTTTATTGTTGGGGTCTCCTCAACATCCCAGCCCCTCGGGCCCCCCCGCCCCGACCCCGGGACTTCATCGTGTGCTGGAGACTCAGCCTGAGAGCTCTCAGAGCGGAGCCGGGCAGGGAGGGGAAGAGGCGGGGGACCTTCCTCTAATGCCTGGGCTCTGAGATGAATAGGAGCTGAGGCAGCCTCACCGGCCTCTCTGCCCACCCTGCCTGGCCTGGGCAGACACAATGAGCTCCGAGATGAAGTCCTTGGGGCTATGTAGGGGAGCGTGAGGAATGCCCTGTCCCCGAGCGAGGCTGCCTTGGGCCTCTCACTCCTCCAGCACACCCCTGTGCCGGCCCAGGGCAAACTGCTTCACGCTGCGCTCAAACATGCAGGAGGAACAGTCTCATCAGGCTGACTCAGATGGTCAGAAGAGGAAGGAGTCCAATGTGAGGGAGTTTTTAAGTTCTTCTAGAAGAGCCATGGAGACAAGGGTGAGCACTGGCCCAGAGCTAGGAGACCAGAGGCTCAAAGCCCTGGGCAAGGGGGGCAAGCCTCATCTCTGCAGAGCAAGGAGCAAAGCCTCAGTCATTCCTGAGCACTCCCACTTCCAAGCCCACCTCCAGTCCCCAGAGAGGGGACGGGGAATGGTTAGGAGTTTAGGGAGGCTCTAGAGCCAGATTGCCATTTACATGAGCTGTGTATCCCTCTGCCAGTGACTTTACCTCTCTGGGCCTCAAGTTCCTCAATTTTAAGATGGGGATACTCATAGTTACTAACTCATGGAGGTGTTGTAAGGATTCAATGAGCTAAAAATGCTGAGAGCCTGGTGTACCGTGAACCATCAATAAATATTCGCTATGATTGTTCAAACTTTTTCTGACTCTGGCTCATATGTCATGTCAGAGACAGGGGCTGAAACTGCACTGTGGTCACCTTTGTGGGCTGGTGAAGAATGTTCCTGCATTACGGTTGGAGTGCGGGCTGCACGGAAACCCCAAGTTCGAACATCCTGTCATTGCCCCCCCCCCCCACAGAGCTGCCCAGCATGGGCTAACGTCCATCATGCCCGCCCTGGCACCGTGGGCCACAAGTGGGCCCAGCTGGCCCTTGCCCCTCAGGGGACACCCAGCCTAGGGGGGGATAGGAACCCCTCAGATGCCCAGTGATGGCTATTTGAGTAGAGTAGGTGTGCCCTGGTGGGAAAGTCAGGGGTAGGGGGGCACAGCCAAGAGGTGCGGTCAAAGAAAGGGGGGGGTGGGGCCGGGCATCCCCCAGGTCTCTAGGCAGCACCCCAGGTATCCTGCAGAGTCCTTCCACCCCCCTGCTCACCAGGCTCTAAATCCTGAGCATCTCTCAGAATCTAACGCTCTTCCCATTCCCACTGCCCCAGCCCCCAACCTCACCTCCCAGCTTCCTTCCCAGTCCCCTCACCTCCAGCCCAGCCCCTCCACTCTTGGCTGCCTGGTCACAGCCGGTCCCTACGAGGCTTCTTCACAACTTGCCCACAGGCCCGAGCAGGAAGACAGGGTGCAGCCCAGCCATGCAGCACGGGGTCTGGCGGGCTTCGTGGATGGTGGCAGCAGGCCAGCCAGGCCCGTGCCCCCAGATGGCCCAGCTGCTCACCTGTGGATGGTCTGCCCCGCAGGTGTGTGCAACACCTCCAGCCCTGCTTGCCGAAGGACGTCGATGACCGTGTTGTTTCCCAGGAAATGACCTAGAACACGAGAGACAGAGTGGACTCAGCCACATGCCAAGTCACCAGCAACTGGGGACAGCCTCAGGCCAGGGACCTATGCCGAAGGCGGTACAGTCCTGGAGCCAGCTCGGCATGGGCCCAAATCCTGGCTCTGCTGCTCACCTGTCGTATGTCCCTATGCCCCAGTTTCTGTGTCCCGTTCCTCTCTGTGGAGTGGGGATGATGCTAAAAGCAGCCTGCAGGTGTTGGGAGGATGGCGGGAACGGTGGCTGGCACTGTGGCAAAGGGTCACAAGTGTTTCCTGTGGCATCACTGCGCCTCGTACCCTGAGGCTGACCCCAGGCCCAGGCTGTAATAACCCGTGGTGCTGTCTCTGTGCACAGGTCCCAGGTGCCGGCTGTGGCCACCACAGTTTTATACCGGAAAAATAAAGTGAATTAAGCCTGTGTAAAACAGACAACAGACAGTACAAGCGGCCGACAGTAGTCATGCAAGGCCCAGCTCCGAGAAAACCTCCACCAAGAAGCCCTCAAGCCCTCAACAGGTCTGTGGCTTATCTTCGTAGGTTCCACCAGCAGCGCAAGGCTCCCTCCCTTAGCACAGCGGTGGGTTCTGTGTGTTCACGTCTGTCTCCTCACCAGGCTCCCACAGGGCAGAGGATGGATTCATGGTTTCATTTGTTCACCTTCTATCCAACATTCAGGGACGACCCATTACACCCCAGGCCCCAGGGTGGCCCCGGAAGCCTCATGAGGTGTCAGATTCTGGGGAAGGGGAGAGCAGTTTGTGGTTGCAATGGCCGCAGGTGCAGCCGACAGAGGCGGTGGCTCAGAAGGGGTATAAAGCCGGAGCTGAACACCGCCGAGCTGGTCCCTGGTTGGGGGGGGGGGGGGGGGGGGCGGTCTTCATCTCGCCCCAACCCCTTAATCATTCATCCAACACACACTTCTGCTGCACTTACTCCGAGGCCAGCCCTGGGCTGGTGGCTCAGAATACGGAGGGCCTCGGCCCCAGATGCTCCCAGAAATCGCTCTCCTTCAGCAAGACTCGGGCAGGAGGTCTGTGAACAGAGAAGGCTCTCCCGGCCTCTGGTTAGGAAGGGTCCTCAGGAGGCTGAGTGACTGTGGAGGCGGTCTCTGCTGGGAATCAGCACCCTGGCAAGCCCCTTGCCCTCCCTGGGCCTCGGTTTCCCCACCTGTTTGATGGGGGCAGAGTGGCAGTGGCCCCTTGTTGCCTCCTAGCCCGTGTGCCTGCCCTGCGGCCCCACTCACATGGGCAGCACGTTCCCCTCCGCTCCCCATTCAGCCCAGAACCTGGGGGGAAATCCCTGTGCCATTACTCTAATCGCCTGTGACAGGCGGTGACAGGTGGGAAGCCGGAAGGTCAGCACGCTGACAGCCCCAGGGAGGTCTGAGGAGAGCAGACAGTGGACAAGCTGGGCGGGAACGGAGAGGCTCCGGCACAGAGGGGGTGAGGCTGGGACTGCAGAGCGGGTGGACGGGGGGGGGGGGGGGGTGAGCCCGCCGCGCTCTGCCGCCCACCCTGCACACCTCTGGGCCGGCTTCTGCACTCTCGAGCTGGCCTGCCCCTGTCCCTGGAGTCCACCTTGGGATCACCGTGAAAGACCACTGGTCTGGGAACAAGAGACCTGGCTTCTAGTCCAGGACCCACCTCACTCACTCTGAGACCTCGGGCAAATCCATTATGCTCAAACGCCCAATGTCTCTGTGTACAAGGGAGGGATCCACGGGCTCCCCCGGCTCTCAGACTCTACGGGGAAGGTTTTGGTTTGACTCCAGACACCCTGATGAAAATGTATTTTCCCTCCCTTCTTCCCTCTCTTTACCGATTCAGTTCATTAATCTGACAAACACTGAGCGAATGGATATCTAGTGCTAGCCAGGGGTGAAGAGACAGGGGCCTGTTCCAGGCACTCGGTCTCAGAATCAAGGTCTTTTGATGGGGGCTAAGTACTGTGTGGAGGGAAGCACAACCTCAAGGCAGGGCAGACTTCCTGGAGGAGGCACTGATAGCTGAAGGGTGGGATAAGAATTAGCCAGGTGAGGATGAGAGTTGGGCACAGGGTGGGGGGGGTGTTCCAGACAAGGGGAACGGCGTGTATAAGGTTAGGAGACAAGTGAGGCTCATCCGGGAAGCTGACTGCAGGAGACACACAGACACGCAGGCATCAACAGTCCCTCCCAGGGCCCTGGCCTTCACCCAGTCCTGTTGAGGACGGAGACCAAGCTCCTGGAATGGCTATGAGTCTCCTGAGCAAGTGGCTTTCCTGCCCCCAGCCCCAGTCTTCCCGAGTGTCAAATGGGCATGCATCCCTTCGGGGGGCTGTAAGGTCCTGATGAGGCAGGACGAGTGACTGTCCTTTGGAGAAGCCCAGCGTGCACTCCTGGGTGACGTGCTAAGCCAGTCTTCGGCGGGACCCCAGAGCCGTGCCCACTCTTGCCCAACCCGCGAGTGTGACAGAGCTGGGACCGGGCCTGGGCACGGTGGCCTTTGGCACATGGGCTGCAGGAACTCGCTGCCAACAGTTCTTGGAACTGACTCCTGGCAGCAAAGGCAATTCCTTCCCTGCCTCCATGGAGACCCTTTAAAGGTGAGGGCCTCCAGGCCCAGCAGAGGTCTGCCCTGAGGATTTCAAGCACCAGCAGGGAGAGCAGGCTGCCTCAGGCTGCACAGGAGCAGCACAGAGTAGTTAATGAGCAGTGTGACCCGCTCTGAAAGGGACATTCCTGATGCTGGTGGAGGCGGTGTTTGGAAGGGCCCAAGCCTTACAGAGTTCCAGCTGGATCTCGAGCGCTGCCTGACAGCGTTTCGGCGTCCAGTCAGCACCCCATCCATGTCCTCAGCCTCAGTAGCTCCAGGCCCTCACGGTGCAGCTCAAGACCCTGAACAGAAGACTTCAGATACTTTGAGAAACTAGTTGGAAGCAATCAGCAATGAGTTTTTCAAATCCCATCTTTCCTTCTCTAAGCCACACCCACCTTTACTTCCTTCCCTGTGGGGCAGAGAGACCACCGTCTGCACCCCCCTGCCCTCCCCTTCCCCCGGCAAGAGGCAGCTCCCGCACGGCTCCAGGGAGTGCTCCCCCCCCCATGAACCCCCGGCCCAGGACGGCACAGACCAGCCATCCATTCCTGAGCCTGTGCTCCCAGCACGGCCCCGGCCCTGCCCTCTCTGGGCCTGGCTTCACAGGACCCCACGACACTTCTCTTCATAACCCTCTCACTGCCCCGCGTCCCCTACCATAGCGTCCTGCTCCCCCACAATCTGTGGACAAGTCATCCACCATGTGGTTTCAATGACCATACAGTGCAGACCACTCTGGAACGACTACTGCCCTAGCCCAGACCCGTTTGTCCGGCAGCCTACTGGGCATCTCCACCTGACAGCCCCCAGAGCCTAGAAAGCCAGCTTACCCTCCTCTCCCAGGATGTCTCTCAACTGAGCTCTGTTGTCCAAGTCACATGGGCCCTGTCTCGACCAATCAGTGACCGGAGTGCCCCTGATTTTTTTCCTCCTAACCGTGCTTGACCAGCGCAGGTCACCATCAGCTTCTGCCCGAGTCACTGCAGACACGGCCTTCCTTGTTAACTCTGCAGCTGGAATGATCTTCCCGCCCTCCCGAGATGCCCCTGTCAGAACTCGTTCCCAACAAGCCACTAGAGGGGAGACTGTGAATTTTTCGAGGGCAGGAGCCACGCCTGATTCATCCTTGGCCCCAGGGCTGAGCCCAAGTTTGGCCCACAACGGTGGCTTCGTGAATGTTTGTTGAATGAATGAATGACAAGACCTGTTGCTCCATATCCTTGTTGTGATCTCATCCTAGCCCCAGAAGACTTGAGCTCACAGATCCACTTCCCTTGTAGCCCCCGCCCAGCCTCCTGGGGATGCTCCGGCAGATCCCAGCAATCCCAGGAGCTTGGGCCTTGCACCAGCCCAAGTCAGGGCCCCGTGCCCGCTGTCCCCAGGGGCTGGCAGACAGGGCCTAGGCTTGCCTCCAAGGTCACAAATTCCGAAAAAGTCACCACGCCCATCCTGGAACCTGCAGGGAAGGTGTGGCAAGTTTCCAAAGGGGCCCTACAGTGTTGGGGCTTGCCCAGGCTCCTGGGGTCTCCTGGCCACCGCTCAGCCATTCCTTCCAGCACTGACAGCTGTTTCTGGCCTGCTCTCCGCAGGGAGGCACGTTCCCTTTCATCTGCTGAGGCTACATGGACGAGGAAAGGAGGAAAGAGAGGGAGGACAGTGAGGGGTGGGGCGCGCAGAGCCACAGGGACAGAGTAGGGGAGAGGAGACAACAGAGGGGCCGGGAGAGAAGAGAGACTCTCCCAGGGAGAGACCGGGAGAAGGAGAGAGCGCCAGGACACAAGGAAACAGAGAGAAGACAGACAGATGAGAGGGGGAGAGAGGGGCTGGGAGACAGGCTTTCAGAGACTCAGAGAGAGCGGGAGGGAGAGAGGGAAAAGGAGAGACACTGAAACAGAAAGCAAAGAGATAGAAAAAGAAAAAGACAAAAACAGGGCAGAGATACCAAGAGACAGAGATAGAGAGGGAAGAAGAAAAGAGAAAAAGAACCCAGAAAAGAAAACATGGGGCATGGTGGTAGATATCACGGAAGGCTTCCTGGAGGAGGGACCCACGTAGCCAGGACTCCCAGGACGGGTGGGATGGAGGAAACATATGTGGTGGCGGGCAGGCAGAGGACTGTAGGTCTGTAAAACGGTGGGGCTGGTTTGGTGATTGCCTCCCGGACCCCACAAGCCACAGTACCATTAAAGGACATTCATATACAAACAGGGGAAGTGTCCTGCTCCCAGTGGGCACAGCCCCATGATGTGTTAGTGCAGAGGAAAGGCCCCTCTTCTTCCAGGTATAAGCAGGCCAGGGCATCAGACTCAGCAAACGGAGCCCAGGCTGGATCTAGCCTCTACCCATGAGCCGGCCCGGCCAGCCTGGCAGCCCCCATTTACCCTCCCGACATGGAAAGGCAGGGTAAGGCGGAG